CTGACAGCAATTGCGTTGTTATGTTTCATGTGGAGCAATGACAGGATAAGGTGCTTGTTTGGAAATGAAAAGCATCTTTTTAATACCAGGAAAGAAAGGCTAGAGATAACATTGAAATGTTAACACTCCGCTCTCGTTAGTGCCTTGATTTTCCTCCCTGTGAGATCATCCTTACCTGTAAACCTACGAATTTTATCACTGTTTTTTTCCAGAAACGTGCAGAAGGGTGATGAGGACTGGTAGCAATCACAAATGTTGTATATCTTCAAATTGTAAGCTTGAAACACAATCTGAAAGACAAACTACTACGTCTCTGGGTTTGCTTTCAAGTGGGGAGCTGGAGCGTGTCCCTCCAGGCTGTGGGCTGGGTGCGGTGGGGACTGCGGTGGGGACTGTGGCGCTGGCTGCGGGTGTCTGACGGGTTCTGGCTGCACATCTGGCTGGTGACAAAGGATGTGCACTGGGTATGAGCGGTAATGCACATGGGAAAACGCACGTGGGGCTGGAAACCGGCTATTTTTCCTTTTCAACTCTTATGAGTTAATCTGGTAAGAGATTCGCTCTCCCTGCAGAGCCGTCAAAGGGATGGTGTGTTTCCAGTGAGTAGTCTCCCGGCTTTACAGTGGTGAAGGAAGCCCTGGTCCTGTAAGAGTCACCATAGCGTCACCGCCAGCAGCGAGAGCAGCCCCAAGCCTGGCTGCTGCGGGGAACAGACAGCAAACCTCCTTCCAGGAGGTGAGGTGGGTCCCTTGGCCCTGGCAGCGGAGGGACATGCCCACGTGCGAGGGAGCAGGTACCAGCCATTAACCTTTCCATGCTGGGATAAAGCAACTGCCGCGGCCTTTTAGGTGAGCCCTGGGAATGGGACATGACAGGATGGGCACAAAACCACAGTTTGGGCCTTTTTTTTTTTTTTTTTTTTTCTGCTCCCAGCTCTGTTGTGAGCTTCCTGGTGACCTTGGCAGATCACTTGGTCTCTGTGATCTCTATGAGTTCCACCATGTCCCTGGGGCTGCACGACTGCCCCGGTGCCTACTTGTCACTTGAAATTTGTCGTTCCTGCGTTCAGCGGCCTTCAGACAGACGTTTGGAAGGATAAAGATGATTTCTAGCAAGGTCTGTTCCCTGCCTTTCCTGAGGGCAGCCATTTCACAGTGAAATGCTGTTGTATAAATCAGCTGAGGACCTTCTGCTTCTCCAAGCAGTGGAGTCTGAGCTTGTTCCATTTCCCCAGGGCTGGTGGCAAACTCAGAACTCATCACCCAGGGAAAGGAAATTGCTGGGAGAGAGGGAAGAGGTCGGGATGAGACGTTTGCAAACATGTCTAAGGCTGAAAAGAGGAATTAACTTTGTAAGAAAGGGAGGTAAATATCACCAGCTCGTTGGGCTTTGGCATTTGCCTAATTCAGCTCACAAAAACGTTACTGATTGCACGTTGCAGTACCAGGTCATTTCCTTGGAGGGGAGACAGAGAATTAAAGTTTCTAACGCAGAAAGGAAGAGAAAGAAAAAGAGGGGGGGGGGAAAAAATCAATGAACCCCCCGTTCAGCCTGGGATGGCTGCCCCTGAGGAACGTGCAGTCCCGGAAGGTTTGTTATTTTGTGCTTCTTGGTGAGTTCCCAGTAAAGCTGCCACTTCTTTCAAGGGCAGGACTGCTTCTGCCCTGGAGGCAGGGTGGGTGCACAGTGACTCCAGAAAGCCCTTTGGGTTGTCTCTTTTTTTTCCCTGGGGTGGTCACTGCAGAGTGAAGAGGTTCTGGGGACGAGCACTGGGAGCTGAGCTGGCCGTTCCCCTGCACTCAGGTCCTGCTGTGACACCCCGGTCCTCCTGCGGGATGGATGCTCCAGGAGAGCCCAGCTCCTTCCCCTCCACTCTTCCCTACCCAAGAGATAAAAGGAGTCGGGGGTACGTGGGGAAGCAGAACCAATTCTGAGCTACATCACCACCCCAGCTGGGAGCAAGGGGGGTCCTGCAGCGTGGGGAGGCCCAGCAGGAGACACTGATGTCGGAAGATAAATATGTCTGTATTCGCATTCCTCACTGGTTCATTTGTGGCAAAGCACACGCGTGTGGAGGGTTATCCTGCATCGGGGACCAGGTTAGCGGGGCCAGGGCACCGCCAAACACCGCCACCGTGGCTGTCCCACCGGGTCCCAGCTTGTTGGCCGGTACAGTGCAGGTTCCGTGGCCAAAAGGAGAAACACGTATGGAGGCAAATCCCCAACCCACCAGGTCCCTGTGGGCTGGCCGGGCTTGGCTTCTGCGTCTGGCCGGCGGGTTTGGGCTGGGTGTGATGACAGCCCGTCCCCATCCCCACTGGGAACAGAACGGGACGGGCTGTGCCGTAACGCCTGTCCCCGCTCCGGCCACCCGAGGGGCTCGATGACCCCAAACCATGGGCCAGCTCTGTCCTGCCACCCCCTTGGACCAGTGCAGGCATGTCCCCAACGCTGCGGTCTTTAACCCGCGGCCGTTCACCCCACAGGGGACGGTCACTGACCGGAGTCACCCCGGGGACCTCCCGGCTCCCAGAGCCGATGTGGGTGGCAGGAGAGCCCTGGGTGACCCCACACCCCTGAGACATCTGCTTGGATGTGGTCATGAAAGCGGGGTGTCTCTGCAGCCCCGGGCATCGTTTCCCCAGAGCCCGTGCTTTTCGGGTCGATGTCTCCTCCTCGCACCACTCCTGGCCCCTCGGGTGCCTGCCGGCTCAGCCGGGGCAAACTTTGCACCTTCCCGGAGGGGTTTATTGACTCTGAAGGCAGCATCACCACAGCCATAGCTGCAGGACCGTGACCTCCGATGCGCCAGCGGGGGTGACCCCACGCCGGGGGCCGCGGGGCTGCTCGGTGGGAGTCGGGGCAAGCTGTGTTCCAGGCTGGGCTTAGCAGGGCCGTGACCCAACTGCACAGGATAAAACGGAGAGAGGAAAACACCCAAAATAAAAGGAGAGGGGAGAGCACCGCTCCCTCGGTGCCCACCGGTGCTGGGGTCTAGGGGTCCGGGTTGTGAAACCTCTCCTGCTGGGACCTCTGGGGACGGTTCTGGAGCTGCTTGTGCAACTCCCCGGTGGCGGTTGGCAGAAAGGTCATCCCAAAACACCCCAATCGCCTGGTTTTTGGTTAAATCCGGAGTGTTTGCTGTGGCTGTGAGCTGGCCAGGTGGAGAAGCCCCTCGTTCCCCGCGGGGGGTGGCGGTGACCTGCTGCTGGGTGCCAGCCTCCACCCCGGGGTCCCTTCGCGGGCCCTGACCCCCACCTTGACCTTTGACCCCAGCGCCCTCCCCAGCGCTCCCTGTCCCTTTAAGAACCCCCC